GGGGGGGGGGGAGAGAAGCATCAGTGGCATAGCTTTGCCTTGGGACCAAAACACCTTTGTGCTGGGAGGTGATTGTGTGCAAATGTGTCCCTTGAGGCACCCGAAGAAGCCCCAAGTCGAGGGGGCTGGGGGTGTGCATGATGTCTTGGTGAAAAACAAGGCACTGTGTGTCTAGCATTAAAGGCAGCGCACCCCAGGTTTTCGGGAGCCCCCCCCCCCAAAAAAAGGACAGATGGAGGCCCTCAGGGTTCCAGCCAGTAGATTAGGTCTATTTCTGGAGAGACCTGAAATGTCATTGGAAGTTACATCTTTGGGGGACTATTCATGGCGACTAACGACTGGATATAGACCAAGGCATGGTCTAGTCTTTGTCCTTTGATAGTAAAATGGCAGCTTTATTCTGTCAAAGACAATTTGGCCCTCGGACCCAGTGGACTGCCAGATGGGAGACCGAACAAGGCCAAAGCACAAACCCCATTTTTCTGTCGGTGGGGGACCACGGTGTTCCTTTGCGCTCTGCAGCAAGATGCCACTAAGTGTGCTGGTTTGCGTGAAGCAGCTGTTTTGGTCCTGGAGGACAGTCTGTCCCTTCTCAGTCCCATCGCATCAGGTCGAAGCACGAATATACTGCTATGGCTATGAGAGGTGGTGGTTTCTCATTGCCATTTTTTATTGTTTCTCAAGCCCACAAGATTCAGACTGAAAGCCTTCAGCCGAATGGAAGAGCTTTTTGGACAGAGCAAAGATGTTTATGTCCATCTGGACGGAGGATCTGATTTCCTTGGTTATTTGGTTTTACGGCTGTGGTAAATCCCACCACCATCTGTTCTGCTTTGCTAGGCTTGCAAGATATTTTTTTAAAAAATGCACAAAAAACCCAAATGCCTCGCATGAGTATGCCCAGTCTCAGCGTGATATTCTGCCATAAAACAGTGTCTTCATTTCCCCTTAAATTGTGGGATTGGTTTCCTTTTAAATGAAGTCTTTTACAATCATTTTGTTCCTTCCCATTTTTGTTTTGTTTTTTTTAATTGCAGTCTCAGTCTAACAACCAAGCCTAGGCTGAAATGTAGCTGTCAGAGGGCACCCAAGCAAGCTTGTTGAGGGTTTGTCAATGTCTTTCTTCTGAAATAGAGTTTTGCCTCTTAACTAGGGCCATAAATGTCAAACACTTTGGCAGACAGGGACATCAGCCACATATGCAAATCAGACTGTGATGTTACTGTGAGTAAACTTCATGGGAAACAGTGGGACGTGCTTCTAAATGAACTATCCAGAGAGGAGGAATCTCAGAACAGAGCGAAATATTCCTGGCAAAGTACATCCGTGCGAGCTGCTAGAGGAGTAGCTTATTGGGAAAGTGCAGGATGCTCCTTCTGGAGGTACCAAGATCGTTAGAAAATTTGGGTTATGTAATCATTTGCTGAAATGATTTTGCCCAGGGCACGTGGGGGCTATCAAGAATTAACAGAACAAGAACAGAAATGCCATTCTTTTCCTAACCATATTTTGAATCATGAAACATGTGGTCACTGTGAAAGATGACAGCACATGTTCTGAAAAAAAAATCCACAGCTCCTTTTGCAAGTTAACACTGAAAACGTTCTTGAGAAAGCCTTCAGATATTACTTGGAGCCTTGCTTTCTCCTTGCAGGCCAGGTCCCTGTCCCCCCCTCCCCCCCCCCACAATCAGGGTGAAGGTTTAGTGCTGGAAACAGGAGCTTCCATAAGAGCTGAATGGCCCTTGCGGCTGGGTTCATGTCATCTGCGCAGATTAATGATGGCCGCTCAGTCCTTCAGAGAAAACAGTGTCTGGAAGGGACCTTATTAGTGCAAAACAAAGGCTTCTGTCTACTTATTTTGCCCTATTTTAAGACTATAAAGTCGTCTTTACTGCATTTTCCTTTCAACATGCATTAGGCTGGGAAGTTCCCAATTAAGCAGTAATCTCTGCATGTGGCAAAAGGATAATTAGAACTTGCAAAGTAGAATTTGAGCTTCGGTGGAAAACTGTATCAAAACATTATAGGGGGCTTGTCTTCATTGCAGTTCTAAGTTGTCCATCTGGAATTAGGTGACAGCAGCCAAAATAAAATCTCTGCACTGCATAAACAGGCAGTTAGTCCAGGATTACCCAGTTCTCCAGCTCCTCAAGAGTCTGGAGAGAGCAAGACAAGATAACAGCTATCTTAACCACGTTGATGGAGGCTACCAATTGTTGCCTTCATATTTCACAAATGTTATCTTGGAGACTTTTTAAAGGTTCTGACTCCCTCTTGCCAGCATCTAACACGCCGTCGGCATGTGCAGCTTTCTGAAAGGAGAGGCCACTGCCAGAGCTGATTCATGTCAAAACAGTTCCCTTCCCTTAAGTGGGATCATTTCATAACTCACTACTTTGGCGAAAAGTCCAGCTAACAAGAGAGCCTACGAGAACGACAGCCCCGGTTTCTGTCCTCTGGGTGGTCAGGAAGCCTTGCTCTAGATTAGAGGTGTGGTTGCAGAACCTTCTCCTCCATGATACAGAGTCTTGCTGAGAAGCTGCCTTCCCCGTGTCTGGCGGGCGGGCGGGCGGGCAGGAGTAACAGATAGGATCCTCATGGCCAATATGTAACATGATGAGCTTGGGAGAACCACAAAGAGCTTTAAGGTAATCTGGCTGGGGAAGAAGCATTTTACCGAAGGGTGGTCTCTGAATCAGTTGCAGCCTTTGGCTAAATCGCAGCCTCCAAATTGAAACCAGTCGTGTTTTCAGTTCATTCTTTGGGTTACTACTGTTCAGTGTTAATTTACAAAAGAGGAATGGCAAATTCTCATGCAACAGCCGATATGCCTGAAACACACACACACACACATTTAAAAATTGCCCTGCCATAAAACACTGCCTTCAAAAGCAAGCCTCTTTTTCCGTGGCTTGTCTTTATCAGCTGCCCGGCAGGGAAAATGGGCATCACACAGTGTGAAAGTCACTGGAGACCAGTTCATAAACTTGAGGACATTTTGTCCTCTTGAATGGATTTGGTACGTTAGGAATTGTGCAAACACACTCTGTTGTTCAGTGACCCTTCCCAGGGGTCATTTCCATGGGGGCACTCATCTTTATTTAATTTTAGGTTCCACCCTATTTGTGTTGGTTTCAATCATATTCCAAAACCCGTGATGTCTTTAGCTGTCTGTCCTATGTTGTCTGTTCTCAGTAACACCAGTCGTTTTTTGAGATCAAGCCAAATCATCCTGGCACCTCTCAAGAGAAATTGTTTCGGTGCTCACTAGAACGTCCCTTTGGCTGCCATGGACTACTCCTGTCCTTCCTGGGGAAGGATGATTTCACAAATGAGGCATGATAAACGGTGAAGCTTATGGGAAGTATCATAGCTCTAAATGCACCGGGGTACCATCGTTGCTCTGGTCTTCTTGTAAGGAAAATCAAGTTGGGAGATACAGCCTTCTCAGAACGGTGCGTGATCCATAGAGCCAAGAACTCAGTGAAGGGGATGGTGGGGAATCCTTTATGTTACTCCTTCTGGCCCCTCGGTTTGGTCTCTGAGTGCCGTGAGAAAGGCAAAAAAAAGGGGGGGCATAAGAAGAACTGGGCTGGACTCCACAGTGACTCTCATTCTGTGCCTATGGTGGCCGACCAGGTGGATCCAGGAAGCCAAGACGCAGGGTTGCTTTAGCTGCCGGTTCTTGCACTGGCAATCCCTGACTATTTTTAATTAATCAATCAATTAATTTGCCCCTCTTCCAACCCTACAGTTCTAGGAGTGTGTGACTGTAAGGCATGAGCCTAGTAGATTTCTCTTGCTCTTTTGAGCAACCGGAAACGCCGGTTTGACTGCACCCTAGAAAGAGCAGATCCAGCAAGGTGGGCCCTCTCTACTTCTTTCAGGCAAAGCCCACCATCACTGGCGACTAGTCCCATAAACAGCTGCTCTCCGTCGAAATAGCTTAGCATCCAGTCACTGCTTTCCGTCCTCGGTTCAGTCAGAGTCTTTCCTTTGTATCCATGTTTCACTTTTCTCTTTTCTTTTAAAATCTAGTGGCCACTTTCAAATTGTACCAGCGTGCTAAGCACGTGTACAGCGAAGCCGCCAGAGTGCTGGAGTTCAAGAAGATCTGTACGGAGGCCCCTGAAGATGCCCTCCGGCGGCTGGGAGACTTGATGAACCAGAGTCATGCCAGCTGCAGGGACTTGTATGAATGCAGCTGTCCCGAACTGGATCAGCTGGTGGACACCTGTCTGTAAGTTAATACACCACTATGACACTTTTGTAAAGCACCATCAGAACAAAGGCGTTGGGAGGGTCGTGGGTGATCCGATGATATGGAACAATCTTTCTAGCACAGCCAATGTTGACATCTGCTTTGTTTCTATAGTGCAGGATCCAAAAGTGTTCCTCTGCTGGAGGCATGGTGGAAGCCAGCAGAACTGGAAGGGAGGATCCTCCTCATTTCTTCTGCAGTCCCTCGTGCATCCCGAAACTGGTTCTTCTGGAGAGCTGGGTCATACCCTAGAGCTAGTTTTGAGGCAGCGTGGAGGGCTGCAGCAGAGAGAGGAAGAAAGCTCTGCCAGTGATGATATCTTCTGTTAGAGTTTGTAATGGTCACAGACCGACATCAATGAGACATCAAACACCACCTAATCTAATTTGACAGGCAACCATACAGACCAAAATATATTCACATACTCACTCTGCAGGTTTCTAGCATCAGAAACATTTTTGCCATTTCTTTCCAGTGCTACTGCTGTTGAGAGCAAAAGAGAGTATGGTTAGTGGGTGGTATGATTGGGAAAGAGGGGTGAAGAGTAAGAAGCAGGAGGGAAGATAGTCTGCTTTTGCCCTCTGCCGTCCTCAAGTCGTTGATGATGGGGCATCTCCCAACCTTGTGTTGCTAAGAGTTCTTCCTGCTGGTTGATGTGCTGAATTTTTCTGAAGGCCTTTCGTCGGAAGTGCCAAATGCTGCCGTTGTCTAGAATGGCACGATGAAGGCTCGCCAAGCCCAGATCCTGACTCTGTGTACTTCAGTAGGAAGAAGAGCAGCTCTCTCGAAGCTCAGGTCTGTTTGTGTGGACTGAGCTGCAGTTGAAGCGCATCCAAAAAAGCCCTCACAGAAGAAGCAAGCACCTTTGTTATGTTTGGATTCCCGAAAGGACAAGAATTCCTTGAAGCTACGAGATCTGAAGTCCAACTGGAATCTGAACCAAAATTCTAGGAGGAGAGGCTGCTCCTTTATGATGTCCATCTAGTCTAGTAGAGTCTGCTTTCATTTGCCACAACTTTTCAAGGTTTTCAGCAAAAATCTTTTCCAGCCTACTTGGAATTGCACTTGGAAGACTTTGGCACACAAAATGTGCATCCTGCTATGCCGCCATATCCTTCCCTCAAATGCTAAGGAATAACTTCAGTTTTTCATAACCATGTCTTTCCCAATCCAGAACACATTCTTCTCCTTCCTGTGTGTTCCTTGCCTTTACTGACTCCACAAAGATCAAATCTTGATGGTATTATGGAGCAAGTCGAAAGTAGGACATTTTTTTTTTCTCTGCAGACCATCCAGTGGGGTTTCTAAAGAGCATTTACTGAAACGAAAACTGGCTCCTGCAGGGAAATTGGCTGCTCTTTGAGGGGCATTTCCCACAATAAAAGAAAACCAATAACTACACTTAAGTAAGAACAAAAGCAGAATGGACTTGATGGCATTTGCTTTCCAAATTCACCCACTACCAGTCCCCCCGCCCCGGTTTTTCGCACTTAACTATGCACTGCTTGCCCTGATAACCCTGAAGCTAACTTGGGCCAGTTTCAAACGTAGCATTCTAGAGGGGCCCAGCAGTCACATCATCTGCTTGTCATGCCTTCCGATGTTTGGCAGGAAGCGCTGGTGGTTTGGTGTACTAAGTAGCTTAAGTGAAAGCTATTACCACTTCTTAGGCCATGTTGCAAGAGGATGAGGCTGGGGAGGGGTTCCAGCCATGAAGCGCTGGCAACTCGGGTGGGAGGGTTCCTCGTTCCATTAGCTCCCAGCAAATGGAGGGACATCCGATACCACTGTGTAGAGCTGAGACCTCTCCCTTTCAGGCCCAGTTGTGGCTTCACATCAGCCAACCGGTCAAAATGTATTAAGTAGTTCCCATCCCGTATGGATTCTATGGCAGCGATGCTGAAAGGCAGCTCTATGGATTGCAGCCTAGGCATTAAAGCCACAATCCCACATGGAGTTCAGCACATTTATGGCAATGTATGGTTATAAACGACCCCCGCTAGTGGGATTCCTCTGTGCATCACAATGTAACGGACTGCCATCTCTGTATTTTGAAAATGCAGGTAGTTCTTAACAGTGAAATCCCACCGACCTCTTTACGACGGCAAATTGTCTCTTGCTTGGTAAAGGCAACTGTCCCTGCTGCCTGCATTTCTTGTCTGGGAGCTTGTCCTTAGGACAGGCGTGCGGCCAGTCTGGCAGCTCCCATCAGCCCCAGCCAGCAGAGCCAATGGTGAGGTAATGGCAATGATGGATGTTGTAGTTATAGATCTAACAGCCGCCAGGCAGTCACAAGTTCACCTGTGCTTCAACAAAATATGAGGGAGTCCCCACCAGAATCCCGGCCACCACCTTTCTGCCTCTCCAGCCACACCCATTTGCGCTCTCCTGCGTCGTCATCTCTATCGAGAGGAGGCCTCAGTGGCGGGAGTCAGAGGCCAGCCAATGGTTGGAGCGAACGGCTCACTGGTCACCCCCAAGACTGCTGTGTTCTCCTCCACTCCGCCGGCTGTGGCTTCTTTCCCGTTTGGGCCCATGCTCCTGCCCTTGTGGCTTCGGGAAGACGGCAGGCGGCTTTGAAGGAGCAGGCTTGATCTACGGGTTTCCCCCATGGGTCCCACCACGAAGGGCCCCCTGCCTCTGGCTTTAGACAGAGACCACTTGGCTGGTTCCATAGCGTTTCCCACTTTGTCCTAAGCCAGGCGGTCAGTCAATCTACGACAAACCTAGGAGAGTTATGAAAGTGGGAGACGCAACCTGTAACTTGACATTTATTTACACAAGCTCGTGCAGTCATGATTCTTTTCAGTTTTCCACTAAAACCTGACCTAGAAGATTTACGATAGGAAGTATGTTGCATGCAACCAACATCTTGTTTGTTCATTTCCCCTTCCTCTCATACAGAGCAATCGTTGTATTCTGCCTTGTTGATTAACAGTTCTTGTTTCCTTTGGCTTTTGAGGGGGGGGGTTTCCCCTCCCCCCTGACTGGTAATTGATTAAGGGACCTGACTGGCCCAAACATTTATTTGATACACTTTTGGTCGTGGGCAGCAACTGCATATGTTAACTGGCTTTCATACACGATCCAAGCCAGCTGCGATAGATGGGCTTAAAAGAGGATGCGGCAACCTGGCTTCAGTCTGCTGAATTCTTGGCTGTGACAAGATGTCAAACTGAGAAGTTGAACTCTTCCTGTCCCCCTGTTTTGAGGTTTTGCTTGCATCTTTCAGTTTTGTTAAAAGTGTCTCTGCCAAACCTTTTCCCAAAGATCCATAAGAACAAAGGTTTAGAGTGCCAAAACGTTTTGCCACAAATTGATCAGCACTGTTCAGGATCCCACAAACAAATTTCTACTTTTGTCTTGGGATATTATTATTATTATTATTTTAATATTACTTTGCCTTATGTTTTGCACATCATTCAGGAAAAAGCTGTATGTTTTGTGTGCAATTAACTCAGTTCAGACTTAATGGCGACCCTCATGGACTTTCTGACCTGTCTGGTCTATTTCTACCAGAGCCACCCTGCAGTGGCCCTTCATCGCCACGTGGGGACTTGAACGCCTTCCGAGTTCTTGGATGACACTCGATTCAGTACACACAAACTGGCTCCGGGACTTATTAATAACAAAGATTTTCTCTCTCTTTTTTTTTTTGCCTGACATCTTAAAACAATTTTTGGTTCTGATCCCAACTGTGCTGTTAGAAAAAGAAATACTTAGATTCACTTTGGAACTGGACTTTGAAATGGTGGGATATGAGGGTACAAGCAGTTGGATCCTCACCTCTCACTCCTTAGCTGAGCATCCATCCTCACCATCTGCTCCTTCTAGGGCTGACCGTTTGAATGGTACCTTTAAACAGCTCCGAGCCCCTATAGTCATGGGGAGCTAAACGACAACTCCAGTCTTCCATAACCACCTCCGTAGCTAATGCGGATATTTGTTTTCTTTATGGGATGTTTAGGAATCCCAACATTAATATGTTGCTTTTGCTGGAGCTCCTTTCCGGGCAATTTGCAAAACGAAACCACCACAAACCATTTTAATATACTCAAATTTGAAAAACAAAACACAAGCTCTTTTAGGGCTTTTCGCTCACGGTGTTTAGAAATAGCAACTTTTCTTGTTGCAGTCTTCTTCTAATTTTATTACTGCTTTTAATGTAATGCTTGTTTAATTCTTTTTAAATGTTTGCATGTGCTGTTTTTAGCTTTTAAATATTGTCTTTTTAATGAGGTAAGCCGTTTTGGGTTCTTTTTAAGGAGAAAGGTGGGATAAAAATATTTTAAATAAATGAAATGAATACCTACATAAATAATGAGGCAACAGGGAGAACAGCCTTGGCCGAACGTCTGAGAAGGCACCCATGTTTGTGTAGCAGAAGGTCAGTCCTACCATTTTGAATCAGGCTTGGAAACTGGCAGCTATTTTAACATTGGAGAGAGGTGATCCAGATCCTCCGTGCCAGCCACAGATTCTGGCCGCTCTGTTCTGCACTAACTGAACCTTCCAAATCAACTTCAAAGGCCATTCCGGGGATGAACAACTGGGGCCAAGCTATCTCTGTCCAGAAGAGGTTGGGGTTGGTAAATCAGATGAAGCTGGTTCAAAGTAGTCCGCGTCACTGAGACAACACAGGGTCCAGGATCAGCTGCGAACCCTGTCCCTTTTTGGAGTGTGAGCCCTTCCAGAAAGCATGCCCAAACCTGCCCAAGCCAAGCCATCCTCCACCCTTCGCACCTTCTTCTCAGATCCAAGTTTCAATACAGCGCCTTTTATCCTGTTCATCACGGACATCGGAAACTGTTTCTGGGTAGATGGCCTTCCCAATAAGTTGGCGTTCCTGTAATGATTTGGGGGGGGGGCAAGATGGGGGTGGAGGTACAACGGAAAAGGACAAGGCTTTTGCACGGCAGAACTTCCTGTGCTTGGGAATTCTCAGAATGACACAACATCCCCTTTCCCTGATCGTTGTTGGGAAGGAAAGGATCTGGTGAATCATGAAGCATCTCATCCTGATGAGCAGATCTGCTCTATGTCTGAACTTTACCAGATTTGGAAATATGTGTTGTGACTACCAGCTGAGGCATGAACTTAAGGAGCTCTGCTAATGGAGGCATGGAGCGAAGTATGTCTCTCCTGCCTTCTGCTGCTCCTCCTCCGGCTTTAAACAGAGGCTCTAGAAGGTTACGAAAGGAGGGATGCGTTTGAAGATGACAAATGAGAGGAATCTACAAACTGGGCACCAGAGCAACATCCAAAAAAAATGGTTGCAAATAGCTTTGCCTTCTATGCAGATACTTGCCCTTTTAAACATCTGCTTTGCAAGCGAGTTTTAACAAGGACATCTTTTCAGTTCAGAAAAGCGTGAAGAGCCAGCCACGCTGACCCGGCTCAGCCTCCCCCATGAAAGCGAAGGCAGGGGCTCTTCCACTTCATTTCTCCTCAGTGTAAGCAGCAGTGAGGGACTGGCGCTAGCCCATCAACTCCCTCACCTTGTGGGCCGCCGTGCATTTGGCCCAAGCAGCGGTATCCGTGACGGCCACGATTTGCCAAACTTCACATGGCTGTCGTTCAGGGCAGGCTGGCTGCAACGTGCAACACTTTCTGGGGCCCCCTCTAAGTAGCCCAAACCAGGGTTCTGTAGATGCCTCGTGTTAATTAAAGTGGGATCGAATGATGTAACTGCAGTTACACTCTTTTAAGACACAGTGTAGACAACTAGGGCTCATCAGGCACCTCTGTTACTATTCGCCCCGGGGGGGGGGAGAGAATTGTCTCTGTACTTGCTGAACCAAAATAATAATAATAATAATAATAATGATGATGATGATGATGATGATGATGATGATGATGGTCGTAACAAGAAGGAGGAGGAAGCCTTCAGAATAGGTTGCTCAAGGAGATAACCACACTAGCTGCATGCTGTCAAGTTGATTTCGCTTCTTTCCAGGGTCTTTTCAAGTATACTCAGAGGTGGTTTATCACCACTCTCATCTTACTGAAGACTGGATGACAGTCACACCTCCATGCTACCAAACTTTGGCTGCCCCTCCTTCAAGCATTTGGAAACGGGACAGAGGCTACGCCAGTTGCGCCCGCTGTTCCTTGGGCGGGCTGCAAGTGACGCACGTTCTTCTTCTAACTCGGGCCTTTCCAAACGATGGCTTGTTTTTGTCTTCCAGGCAGTTCGGAGCAGTTGGATCCCGCCTGACCGGCGCCGGCTGGGGTGGTTGCGCCGTGTCGATGGTTCCAGTGGACAAACTGGAGGGGTTCCTGGCAGGTGTGAAAGAGGCTTATTATAAACACTGTGGCCAGAGATTAGCTCAGGAGGAAAGCAGCCTGTTTGCAACCCATCCTGGCGGAGGAGCTGCGGTTTTTCTGGAGGCTTAAAGGTGCCAAAGTATAACAGAAACAATTTGGGGCATTGTGGAGCTGGCAGGGTATCTTAACGCTGCAGTAAACAAGTCCCTTCACTGTTTTTTATTATAATGAGCAATAGCCATTATTAGATAGCATTTCTTAAAAAAAAATCAAGAGTGCTATTAAAACTGTCAAATTTATTTTCCTTCAAAAATAGGCTTCTAACAAATACCAACCGAAATCTTGATTCCTGTCTGGATCCTACAATATAAAACCTGATTTGCAAAAATGTATTCATTAAAAAAAAAAGATTAAAGTGAACGAGACTAGATTAAAAAACAACGCTGCTTTGTCTTACTTTTTAATGACTTAAAAGAAAGGGGCATATTTCATACCAGATACATCACTCAGCTTAACTCAGCTCTTGTTACGCACATTGTAGAGATCATTAGTTGTTGAATGAGTGCCACTGGATGGAGCATGACGCGTTTTTACATTTTCCTGTTCAAACAAAACACCAAAAGGAAGAGTTGAATTAACTGTAGGATAAGAATCGCTCGTATGGTATGAAGCTCACTGGTGGGCATTAGTGCCTTGTGGGCACAGAACCCCGAACCTCTGGCTTCATAATCCCCCCCCCCCAAATGGCCTGGGAAGGGGTTCTGCCACGTTATAGCCACTGGCATGGAAGAGCCATATGACTCATTCTACTTTAAAATGGAAGGGCTATTCTTGAAACAAGCCCTACCCGCTGGGGCTCAAACACCACCGTTTTCAGAAGGGGTGCTCCCTTAAATTGCTAAACAACATCTGTTGGCCCTAGCGGGTGCTTTTCTTCACTTTCATATCTTGCATTCTACCAGGTGGTGTTGTGTGATCTATCACTGGAAGGTAAACATGGGCTCACCTGGCAAATCTGATTATCAACAAATCCCAGTAATTGAACTGCTAGTGATAATCGCAGGGGATCTCTCTTAATGATGCCTTAAGCATATCGTCTGGTTTCAGTCTTTGCCTGTAGGGTGGAGCCTGCAAACCTGGGGTGGCTTTTCCCTATCAAAAAGGCAGTTTGTTCCCAAAAGTTGAGTTTAGGGAACATGGAGATGACAGCCAAGGGGCACCTGATGCCGGAAATAACAAGGCCACCATCTTCTTTCAGGCCAAATAAGAGGTGCTCCACTCTCAAACTAGATTGTAAGGCTTAAAGTAGACTCAAACTGGACTCAAACTATAGACCCAAAGACTGGAGAGACGGATCCACAAAGGAAGGTACCATTTGAGTGATGAACTTTTCTGTCTTTAGCCTTGCTTCAGTTGGCTTCTTGGTAATGGTTGCCAACATCCTAGGTGAGAAAAGAACACAGGACATGTTTTTTTCCCCCAGGAGAATTTGGAGCTGGGTCCTAAGGCCTCTTTTCCCGATTGCTGCACTTTGGTCCCCTGCCACTTTAGTTTGGACACTGTGACATTTCATTGTGTTAGTGAATATTTCTAAGCAAACGGGTTGTGAAGAGATTCCTTTTTCCTCTCCACCATCCATCAGACTGCAGGTGAACTGTGTCCCAGATATCCACTTCTCTCGGGGACTAGAACACTGTTCTTCTTCTACACATAAATCGAGATGAGAGACTCATCTAATCCTTTGGCTGGTCTCCAAACGCCAACGCCGCCCTCTCCCGCCCAAGTGCTCAGCACCCTCTGGAATTCCGGATTCACTTGAGCCACTGCACTTGAGCTGTAGTCCATTTATCCTCTTCTGGATTTCTGGTCTGCATCACTTCTTTAATAAGTGTTTCAGAAAATGAATATGGGGGAACTTGGTGCAGAGATCATATCTTCCCTAGTAAACATTTTTACCCCATCAGCCAGACTACCAGGTAGATCCTACAATTCCCCGTTATTAGGGGAATTAGGGGGGAGTTGCCAGATTGAGGAAAGACCATCCAGTGTTGGGATCAGGAGGCAACGGAAGACAGTGAGTGTCTGTGCCGTTAGGAAAAAGCAACAGCATCCAAATATTTTGCCCTTGACAATTACATCGCTTAAAATTGAAGGGTGAATTAAAGAATCTTAAGATGTTATTAAAGAAAGAAAATGTTAACAAACCAACCTTTTGTACCTCCTGCTAACCTTTTCTCTCTGCTCTTGCATCTGTGCTAGTTCTTCATCACACCTATGTTCAAAACTAAAAAACAGGCCCGTGTGCGTTACACCTTTGAAAGGGTGCAGTATATGTAAGAAAGAGCTGTTTTCACTTTTAATTGCAAGGTACGACCATGATCCCCCTTGGAGCAGATGAAAAGAAATGTCACAGATGGATTACCTCATGGCTTTTCCAGTAAATTTGCTTGGAAGCCTCACATTCCTCAAACCCTTTTTGTTCCAGAGTAGCCCTGAGAAAGCAACTCTAGAAGCACGATCAGCTCCGAAGATTGCAACTTGAACATCTGGTGCACGTTATTTGAAAATGAATGACTTAAGACTGCCAAGAGTCATCCAAGTGGCCGGGTATCTGCAAGTGGATTGTTGCTCCTGAAACTTTGATCCCTGGATCTTTTTTAAAATCTTATTTTAATTCTGCTGATACAGAAAAGCTTTCTGTCTGCTGTTTTGCATGTTGTGGCTGAGTTTACTTGCAAGAAAAATCAAAGGATTTTTTTTAAAAAAAGCTTGGATTACAAACAAAAAAGCAGCAGCTAATTCATGCGCTCTGGAACAAGAGGGCTTGGGTAAGGCAGTGCAATTTCAGCTGTGCCCTTCTGCAGACTGGCATGAAATGTAAGTCCCCATGCTCTATTTCCTGCTTGATATTGTCAAATAACTCCCTGACCGTACAGAGGGGCCTGCTGGGATGAAAACAACTAAGACTGAGTATAGTACTTACTCAATAAAGTTATTGTGTAGATTTTCTGCAAATGTTTGACTCGCCTTAATAACATCTGTGTAAGTTGGAGAAACGGGCGTGCTGTCGTGCAAGTCAAGGGAAATGATTTTTCACTTTGTGATATTTTGAAACGTGACTCTTTGCGAAATGCAACACAAGAGATAGTGACCTTGAATGTGGCCTAAGGAAGACCCTTTACAGAAGTTCTCTCTGTTCTTTGAGGGTCTCCCATGGCATAGAATGAAGAATTTTGGAGATCCCTCATCTATAGGGTCACCGTGGGTCGGAGGTGACTTGTAACTAAAACAACAAATTCCCTGCGGCTGATGTCACAACAACAAGAAGAGGAAAACTCGAGATACAACAGAAATAAGGGCATCTTGGAATAGATTTACCAAATTTCCTTTAGATTAATATAACGCTACAAAGAGGAGCCATAAACCAGATCCGACACAGATATCTCATACAGGAACCTGATCATGGTAGGCTTAAGCAAAAACCAAGGGGGAAAATAATAACAGAACTTTCAAAATCATTGTTTGGAAAGCCCTGACCCCCTGAGGGGTTTTCTCCCCAACTAAATCCCCATGTAATTCCTCATAAGGAAACCAACAATGTCTGAGTCACCAGAGAAAATTATGTTTAGAAAGTCTTTTCCTTAGATACTCCAATGAAAACTTTCCAAAGGAGCTGATGTATATCCCATTCAGTGCGGTTTGTTTTCAAAATGAGAAGTGAAATTCTGACAAAGATGTTGACGTTGTGTTGATGGTTAGTGACAAATCAAACCAATGTCACTTGAAGATTTGAAACATGGTGAAATGTGTAACCTCAGCTCCCCAGTTATGAAAAATCCCAATTCATTTCACGTTGGGTATCACAGCACATAACACGAAAGTTATAGGAGTTCTGGAAAGAGTGGAAATTGGGGGATGAAAGGAGAGAGAAGCAGTCGAGTGAGAACTTAAATCTGAAAGCCATATTTTGTTCACAGAAACCTTCAGCCTCAGATTGAATTCTGGCTCTTCTGGGGTTCCCCAGGGATCCAAGCCTCTTCCCTCAAGAAACCATTATTTCCCAAAGTCACACATTTCCCCATGTTCTCAAAGGCTGAAATCCTTCTTCTAAGGCTTAATCGTGGGCACTAAGAGTATTATGCAAAAATATGCTGGTCTTGTTTCGGTCCAACCCCCATCATGCAAACAAGCTCAGGGAACTTTTCTGAAAGGGGAATCCAGCCCACGGCTAAAAGGTTTCCTATCCGCTTTCATTCGCTTTTGTGAAAATTAACACATCAAAATTGAAATGGAGACCTCATTTCTTCCCTTCCCAACCCAACATCCATTTAACTTACTTTGACAAAATCGATTTAACCTTGTTAGTGCCACTTTAGAAGTTTTAAACACAACTGAAGTCTAAAACGTTCCCCCAATAAAAGGATATGGTATTTTGTAAATTTCAGTATGGTTGATCCTGTAAGCGCGGGAGTTTGCTAAGGTGTTGTTGATGCCATGCATTTTAAGATAATACAAAACCAGTGGACTTTGGCCCCCAAGGTTGAATAATGAACGTTGAAAGTCTGGACCACTCCCAATATAATGGGACTACAAAGAAGGCAGAAAGAGCTTTTATCGTGAGCAACAGTTCACTGTAAACAAGTAATGTGCTGTATCAGAATATGCTGAAAGACTAGACCACCCTACACTCTTACTATTAACCAGGCATTAGAAAAAAGGACATGGTGACTTGCAGTCCCAGAATCTTATCACCAGCATGGATGGACCTGGCTAGGAATCTGGGTGCGCGAGGGATTGGTTCCAAGCCGCTCCCCCCCCCTCTGCAATGGATGCCCAAACCCCGCAGATAACAGTGAACCCTCTACATAGCATGGTCTCTGGATCCCTCTACTTTCCAATTCTGTTAATTACATCATGGAAATATATATATATATATATTTTCAGACTGTAGGTAATAACTGGGGTGGTGAGAAACAGATTCTGGCTGAGGAAATGGTGCTCCAGGAAAAGTCCCCTTGTACTGCAGGTAACCGTGCCCTGATCCTCCCTGCTTGGGTCAAGTATTTTTCCCCCCACTTAAGCTGTCACCAGTGCAAATCCTTAAAACACAAGAACATGTGTGAACGTCAGGCAGCCACCCCCTCCTTTTTTTGGCATGGGTCCTCCAGGACACATGGCTGCGGCTTGCATGTGGTGCTTGAGGTTATACATGCCAGAGGGAAAGATCACCCACTGCTGCTCAAAGGATGGCCCTTATTCCTCAGAATTTGTAAAATTTAACTCCAAGGCAACCTCTTCTGGTTTTTTCCCTTGTCGCTTGGTATGTTTCTGAACAATTCCTCAGAGAGAATAAAACGACCTTTTCCCATCTAGTCACGAGTCTTGGTTTCCCACCTACCTCTTTCTTTGGTTTCGCTGCTTCTCTCGAGGGCTGCTCCTTCTGCACTTCAAACCGCACTGCACAAAATACAAATGAAAGTCTCGCTCGTGAGGCTGTTCTGCACCTCCCGTTTTCAAGTCCCTTTCCTGGGTTAGGATCCTGAATGGCCTCCTCCCAACCTCCTCACTACAAACAATCTCACTGGCCACAACGGGATATATTTTCTTTGAAACGGTTCAGGAGCACATGTGGAGCACATCATAAGGAAGACCTTTGAGAGCTATTAAAAGTATGAGTGGTTGGAAAGCAGACCGACATAACCTGCCTTGCAGGGCTGGAAGTGCAGCCATGCCCGTTGGTCATGGCATGTTTTGAGTAGACCGCTTGGCCAGGACCTCCTCAGGTCAACCTCCTTGCACAATGGACTGTAGCACCAGCGGCTCTCTCTGCTTCTGCAACAGCCGGCTGAGAGATACCACATTGCAATTCGATGGCACTTTCCACCCTGCTCTGGTTGAACAGCACCTTGGCTGAGGATTATGGCTGGACTGGGGCACAGAAGCACCACTAGAAGGTTTCTGAGGGTTGCTTCAGAAGTGGTGTCTTTCTAGATAGATTTCCTATTCCATGTGGGAGTTTTCGAGAGGCTTTGCATTTTTCCAGAAATCCAGTTGCATACTTTAAAGACATAACAATGGAAGGGGGGGGAGGGGAAAAGAAGGCTTCAACCCGGCCAAGGTTCTCTTGGCACATCCATGCATCTTTATATAGACCTCTTTCACATTAGTGTGCATGCCATTGAAAAGAAGCAGTTGTCTTTCTCCTGCAAACGAGAGAAGCCGCCCTTCTAGATAACATACAAGCTCAAGAAGAAACAAGCTGAGGGGTAGTTGGCAGCCTGCTATGTCCGGAGCTGGCCACAGTAACTGGGGGAACAGTCATGATAATAGCTCCATAATATTACAGGAGGGCCAGGAAACCTTTTCCTAAAACCATGTTTCTTTTCAACAAGTTTTCTGAGAATGGATACCACTCATCATTAGGCCTCCAGCTGTTTTCCAAGACTGTATTTACCTTTGCTGCGCTTTCTACTTCATTAATAAGGATCTTGGCAGATACATAATTTTGACTAGAGAACGTGCAGGGAGATGCAGTTGTTCTGAAACAGACATTATTCGGCCAGGATGTGCCCTCCTCATTATAACCATAAAAGGGTTGTCCGTACTAAGCTTTGTCGTCTGAACAAAGGTGTAACACCCCCTCCTCCACCAGACCGGCCTTGACTCAGCCTTGTTCTTCCATGGCAAGTGACTTTGAATGGTACAGAGTTCTAGGAGAGGACATCAGAGAAGCACCTCTGCTCCCCCCCCTTGCCGTTTACTTTGCACCAGTTCACTGCGGGCTGAGTAGGGTGGCTGCTTTCCAGTCTCCCAAAGGAGGAGGGGAGGAAGACACAACTTTGCATAAAGTTGCCTCTGTTGATTTCTAAAAAGGGAAATGATGTTTCAATGCTGATGGCCCTTTTAGGGACATAATGAGGAGGGTGCATCTGAATTCAGTAATCTCTCTTCGATTGGCACCCTGCCCTTCTAAGATTTCCCCAGTCTAGGGATGTTAGGCAGCAGCACTCCCACCCTTGAGATTTCAGGGGCAAATCATGAGACCAGAGGGTCCTTGTGGTGCCAGTGTGTTGAGCTGCTGTGAAACTATGGGGCAAGGTAGGAAAGGGGAGGAAGAACAGCTTCCAGGCCACGTCTTTGTGGAAGGGCACTTCCCATCCTGCCTGCCTCACTCCAGATGATCTGATGAGTCCTCCTCCCTGCACCAACTTCCTCTGCCTGCTTGTCTTTGCTCCTGGCTTACTGGAGCACTGGTGCTGCGTGCTAGCACAAAACACACACAAAATACCTTTGGGCTGGCAACCCTAACAAAGACACATCCAAGGACCATGAGACAGAAGCATCATCTCTCTCCATCGCCCCCCCCCCAAAAGCCGGTTTCTGACATAAAGCCCAACTTGAACAGTAGTCCTCTTTTTTCCCCTATGACAATAATGAAAACAGGCTGGAGCATCACGATCCTGCCATCTGGCACATCGTCCCCCTTGTTCAGTATCGGACACTTTAGGGTCCTCTAGCTTCGTGCAGTTTATTTGCTGGGCTGCCATTTTCCATTGCATTGAACAAGCTTTCCAAACTGACGTGGTTTCAGGAAAAAGGGCTGTGGTTATGTTGTGTGTGTGTGTGCGTGTGTTTTTTAAAAGTCTGACATACCAAGGCGTTGAAAGTGCCAACTTGCAAAGCTAAAGCTGCTTAAAGCAATCCTACAAATCTGTAAGTAGTTCAAGGGTGTTCTGCCTGATGAAACCTCAAGAGTTATCATCCTGCATCCTGGATTTTGGAGGTGTCATTCCAGCAGCCTGGATGGTACCTCTCAAGGTGAATTAACAGGGATCGGAACCCAGAATCTTAGGGGTGAAACAAGAGACTAAAGATCCATCTGCATACACATCGGGGCTCCATATGGCAACCACCTGCTTGGTGAAGGACATCAGAATCTGCAAAGAAAGGTTATGCTAACAGATCCCTGCCCGGCACCATCCTTACTTTAATATTTAAAAAAAAACCTGTGGCTGAGTTTTCTGCCAGATATCTTTAAGAAACCATGCTTCATTCCTTCAGCTGCCCCCATCCACCCGAGTGTCATAATAATCCTGGGCGCCTTCTTTGGAATGACAGCTTCAAAACAACGATCATCCATCAAGAAATAATTGGCGGGCCCACCCAGAAAGACAAAGTGTCACTTCTGGCCTCCAGAACATTGTTCCAGTACTTTCAGTGCTAGGTAAAAAATGGGCCAATATTCTCCTCTGACATCTGGCTGCTGGTTCAAGTCCCTGCCTCTCCATTTTCCTATCCGGGAAAGCACTCTGAATGTTTTTAACTAAAATGCTCACAAGCACAGTCTGATAGAGAAAGCGATCTGGTTGCCTTTGCTTATCATATCCATACGCTCAGCTATGGAAAGAGCCATATGGGACCCATATTTCTATTTTAATGATAAATTTTCAGAGAAACTCACAGAAGAGCTTTCACGTCCATGAGGAACCAGTTCAAAAGAAGACCTTTACAAGGCAATGCCGATGCCTTGAAAAGCATAGCTAACCGGGAAAGATTAGCCAAATGCATGCGCCTGCTGCCGCTTTGCAAACCCAGATTACCCTAATCTGTAACCACTAAAGACAGGAGGAGATCTACAGAGAGATGGTGGTCTATTTGTTTCGAGAACTGCAGTGGCTATAAGAAGAGGCATGGGTAAAAAAAAGGCAGAGACAAGACAACCCCTGCTGCTCTTGCCATCTCAAAAGCAAAGCGCAAATTCTCTCCCTTTCTCTCTTTCCTCCCCTCCCCCCTTTTGCCGGATAAACAAGGCCACGCAGGCTTTAGGCTGAGGAACACCAGTTCACGGTGGCCATGCTGGTTGGGATGATGGGAATTGTGAGATTATGGAAGGAGGGTACAGGGAAGAAGCAGAGATGAACCATCTACTCCGCCCTTCTTTCTTCAGAAGAAGAGAGATATAAAGGGCAGAAGAAGAAATCTGGAATAAAGGCAAACACACATGCCTGATGGGACATTTATAGTTTTAGAACATCATTTCACGAGTCAGTTCTGCACACGCTCTAAACGGCTACTTGATTTTAGAGCCTTCGCAGACTAAACTGGGTTGATGGTTCGCTTCTCACGCTCTCGGCTCCCCAGGGATGAGGCAAGCTCCCGGGAGTTTCCCTCCAAGGGTTCAACATGTGGCAAACTGGGAAGTGGGGGGGGGGACTTGGCTCATTTCGCAGCTCGGGTTTGCGTCCTCAGCCAGCCTTGTGGCACACACGTCCCGGGACGGTATGCGCCGAGCCTCCACCGTGTATTGCTTGCAATAATAGAATCTCACACAACTTTGGCAGAAATCGCAGAAGGCAGTGGGCCTGTTGCCACCTCAGAAGTGGGTCATGATTGGATTGCCTTCTTTAATTCTACGAAGAGCGTATCTTCTAAGACAACTCCCTACATAGCTGTCGATTGGGGTGTGTGTGAGTCGTTATGATGTCACAGAGGCATCACTGGTGAAGGGAGCCAGCACAACGCCCACGCCTGAGCGAGTGAACCCTGCAGCCGAGCTGAAAGGGGGACCAAGAGGCACCCAAGATTTAACGTGCCACATACACACAACTCACAATTCTCCCTGCTCTGGCTGGTTTTTCCCCTAAGGTTCCTCTCCCTGCCTGGAGACCTGAAAGAAGACAGCAATTTTGAGATTCGTAGGCTTCCTCTGCCAGGATACTATTACTTAAAAACTCTTTATCCCATATTAATTCTTGAAATACAAGCTGTTTTACTCACTCCTAGAACATTACTCAAACCTAAAGTCAAACAGTTATAAATACTACTGTAGCAATGGTACCCTGAATACCACTGGCTCTACTTAGCACTAAATAATTTTTTTTAAAAGGTGCAGGAAGCAATGGCTGTCCTTTTGGCTTTGTCAGCACAGCTTGGCCAAAACGTCTGAAGGCCGCTCGTGATGAAACTGCTCAGAAAGGATGAGCCCCTGCCAGGCATAGCTTCCAGGGGCCTCCGTCTCCCCTCAACCAGCTACAGATCTCACTGAAAGACAGAAAAAGAAAAATCACGGGAGAGTTCCAAATTGGCTGTCCTCCCCAGAAAAATAGTTTCTAAAAAGCCAACAATTTCCCCATCAGAAGAAGCCTTCCAGTTTCGAGAAGCACAGAGAACTGTGGAGAGCAGGAACCCCTCCTGGGATAGGAAAGGTTTCGTAACACAGTTTGGCCAGGAAGCCTTTTTGATCTGATGACGCTGAGGACCCAAGCAGGAAGGCAGGGGGAAAGGACGGCCCTGAGCTCCAGAGAGCTGAGCAAGGGTCTCCGCTGTTAGATTTGAAAACTATTTCACTCCACAGGGCTTCGAGTTCTCCAAGTGAATTGGCAAGCTTTTGCTCCTCCACGAAGCAAAGAATAGCACCAGTTCCTTTACTTCACATTTGTTCTTCAGTGAGATGTGCT